CCGTTCAGTTTCCGTCAGCTTCCTCGATGTGTACGCGCACGGCTGTAAACTCCCCTGCCGATTGTGTTGGAGTAATACCGCCCCTACCGCCACGTCGCTGGTGTCTGCCTGGACCACGAACGGCTGGTCTGGATCCGGGTGCAGTTGGACCGGTTCTCTCGCAAACAACGTCTTTAACGACTCGAAAGCCCTCTGACAGTCCGTTGTCCAGGCGAGCGGCTATCCCGGACGGGGTTTCGTGGCGGTTTTTTTTGTCCGCAACAGGTCAGTCAAGGGCAACGCAACCATGGCAAAGGAGGGGATAAACTGTCTGTAAAAGTTGGCAAACCAAAGGAAACTCTGCAGTTGACGGCGTGTCCTTGGGGCTTGCCACTCCAGCACACTCCTTACTTTATTCGGGTCCATTTCCACCCCCTCCGCCGATATCTGATACCCCAGGTAGTCCAGGCAGGACCGGTGGAATTCGCATTTGGACAGCTTCACAAATAGCTTAGCGTCCAGTAGCTTTCGTAACACGTCCTGCACCAGCGGAACATGTTCCTCTATAGTCTTGCTATAGATGAGTATGTCATCCAGATACACGAGTACTCCGCGGTAGAGATGTTCGTGCAAGATGCCGTTAATAAGTTGCATGAATACCGCGGGGGCCCCTTGTAGACCGAAAGGCATCACCCGGAATTGGTAGCTACCCAACGGGCAGTTGAATGCCGTTTTCCATTCATCCCCGGGCTTAACCCTGACCCGATAATAGGCCTCCCGTAGGTCCAATTTCGTGAAGACCCTCCCCTGAGCTAGGTGGGCTAAAAGGTCCTTCATTAACGGAAGGGGATACAGATGTTCCACGCACACAGCGTTGATACCCCTGAAATCCACACACAAACGCAACCCCCCATCCTTCTTTTCTTGGAAGAGAACCGGGGCCGCTATCCGGGACCTTGCTGGTTGTATGAAGCCCCGTTCCAGGTTTTTGTCAATATAACGCCTCAGCTCCTCCAACTCCCGTGGAGTCATGGGATACATACGGGGCTTCGGCAGCTGCGCTCCTGGTAGTATCTCAATAGCGCAGTCGGTTGGACGGTGGGGTGGCAGGCTGTCGCAGCCCTGCTCGCTGAACACCTCCGCCAACTCCTCATACTCTGCCGGGAATCCGGGTGACTGGTCTCTTGTCCGCAGTACTGTGGCGGCGGCGTGGGCTGCCGACTTGTACAGTGACCATGCCCAGGAGCTGGGAGATGTCGGACTGTTCCTGGAAGCACTGAGGGCCCGGTTTGACGATCCCTCCCGCGTACAGCGAGCAGAGGCGGAGGTACTGGGCCTAAGGCAAAGGGGCCGACCTGTACGGGACTACGTACGGGAGTTCCAACGGGCGGCGGGTAGGTTACGGGCGTGGCCAGAGCGTTTACTGGTCTACCATTTTCGTAACGGTCTGGACAAAGAGCTACGTCAAGCCTGTGTCGTACGGGGAGTGCCAGGCCGGCTGTCAGGGTGGTTCAAGGCGGTAGCCGAGCTGGACGCAGATCTACGGGAGGTCCACCGCCCGGGGGGGAGAAAGGTCGAGAGAGACCACCCGGCCATCTCCCCCGGCTACGACCCCCGCGCAGCCCGTTTAGATGTTACAGGTGCAACCGACCAGGGCACCGGGTGGCGGAATGCCCGGTGCCGGCAGTCCAAAGCGCTCCTGCAGCCCGGGGAAAACCGGACTCCGCGCCAAAGAAGCCCACTGAGCGCTCCAGGGCCTCCCAGTGCTCCCCCATGTCCAGCCGCACCGGTTCTGTTACTAGCGTTGCGGGGGCTCCACCCAGGAGAGATCCATCCACCTGCTTGAATCGGATGGGGTGAGCCAGGCGATGGACTCTAATACCAACCTCCTTCACAACCTTCATGCTATTTTATTTCTAAAGTCTTCTGATTTGTGTCTGAAGTTCAGGACTCACTTGAAAACAAGAATTCTAATCCTATTGGCGGAATTCTAACTCATTCCTATATTTTTATTAAAAAGTTGCTTTTTATAGATATATACTCACCAAGTCCATTAAATTTAGTGATTTACTAAAAATCCATATAGTTGGACTGAAAGTCTTTGAAATTTGAAATTTAAATTCTTCTTTGTGAGAGATTTTGGATCGCTAAATTTATTTTGCTCAAATATCTGTAGGTCTAGTTCATCTTTATGTCACATTTCATTCAGGAATTCAAGACATAAAAGATAGCATTATTTCCTATTTTTCCTACAGCAATGCTTGGGCTTAAAAAGAGTGACTTGATAGTCATCCATGGATATTTGTTACTGAATTTCTATTAAGCAACACCATTTCTACCCAAACATTACATTCTTTCTCATACTCATTTAGATGCATATGAGAAAGAAACAAAGGATAACTTTTTAAAATGTAAGTAAGTCCTTCCCCCATATCTTTCTGGGCAATTTTGGAACACACACACACACAGCAACTGACACCTTTTTAGAGAATTACAATTTAATTGAAGCATGTTTTTCTGAAAAGGATAATAAATCGGCTACATTTATCCCACACAAAATAGAGCATACAGAGGGGAGGCATAAACAATGGGGCTGAAATGATAAAAACAAGACATCTCAATAATTTGGGTCCATTCCCATTTTTGCTCGCCATCAACACATTATTTGTCAATTGAGAATGATATCACATTCATTCTGCGAAAATCTTTACATGGTAGTCGGCCAAGGGTGATATAAATACTGTCAACTTTAACTTTTGAAAATCTTGGAGGAAAGCAAATATCACAGGATTTCTCTACTGTTTTCCAGAAGGCACGAGGATATACTCATGATCAGCTGGGAACCGAACTCGGTCCCACGGAGTCTTTACAGTTTGCCATCGCTTACTGATGGCAGTTCCGGCCTCCTCTTTTGGCGATATGAACTTTCAGCAGCTGAACATTTGCTAGCCTGACACCGACAACTTCATTGTTTTATCTGTAGTTATTTCAGGGGTGGGCAATTTTCTCTTTCCCCGCTCGCAACAATCCGACAGCACCGCATTCCCGACCTTAGAACTCAAGGTGATGTAGTCAATGCGCAGGCGCAAACTTCCATATCTGTCACCGACGTCTTCCTCGCGCGTGTCGCTGCTTCTTCTGCGACCCCGGAAGTAGTAGGGACTTTGGGTTGTTGTCTGGCGAGAGAGAAAGGTTGATTAAGGGGTAGTGTTGGGTTTGGCTTCGGGTTTGTCCGTGATTGAAGGGAAGGAGGGAAAATGCATTACGTCATTTAGGGAAAAGCAGTGGAGTTTTTTTGTTTTTTTTTGTAGAACAGATTCCTCCGATTTGTTTTGCCTTCCTCATTCGCTAGTTGCTAAGGAGAGAACTTAATACCGTTTTCTTTTTGATTCGACTCATTTCGTTGCAGAGTTTAATGTCTCCAGTGCTTCTCAAATCATTCTTGTTTCTCTTCAGGTTTAGTCCGTTCGCCCGGCTTTCCTACTATGCTCGGTTTCAGCTGCTTTGATTCTTAGCCTCTTTTGGGTCACCAGCACAAACAAAATGTCATGGCTACAGTCTGCAGTTAGCCAAAGCAGTGAAGATGTATTTGATGAAAATGCAGATGAGATGGACATAGCCCAGAAAGAATGGAAGAGTGCAATGGAGAAACGAGTCAAGGTAAAAGTAACCGGGGTTGTTGTTAATTGCGAAGTAATATTGATTGATGTTATTACTTCTTCTCTGTCTCTTTTGTATTAACTTGAATGCAAATGGAATGCTGGCCTAATTCTTGATAGGAATCAGGAGAATCAACCTTGTTCTCTCTTTAAAGGGATTCTTAAAAATTAGGTGCCAGGTGGATAGAATGTATCTCAGAGTTGAATTTTGGAAATGTATTCTGGTAATGATCTTATAGAACAAAACTGTTTTTGTAATTAACAAGAATACTTATATGTTACCATATGACTGAGTCTTCTTTAAAATAAAGTGCTCTGAATCAGGCTCTGAAATTAAATTTCATTTGTTCTCTTCTTTTTGGTAATCATTTGGAAGGATATATTTTTTTAAATTTGTTTTACTTATTTTAGTTGGTGCTATATTTAAATAATACAGACAAATGCTAACAAACTGTACGTTTTCTTTTTTGCTTAAAGGAAGGCTATACGGAAGGTGTTGAAGCTGGGAAAGTGGTAACACTTCAACAAGGCTTCAATCAGGGTTATAAAGAAGCAGTAAGGGTGATGTTTGAATGTGGCCAGCTCAAAGGAGCCATAAGGTATGTTGAAAAATAAAGATAACCCACCCACTCCCACCCCAAGACCAACCTTCATAGTGAGTTTTATTAAATGTATAACTGTCATCTTTTTTATAGCCTGAATAACTTAGACCTAATCTTTGGCAACTCTGTAGTTTGCAAGGTGAGAGGTGGAAAATGTAGTAAATTGGAACCACTGAACAACACTAAGGATTTCCACGCCACAGTAAACACTAGGGCTTTTGTTCAAATCTCTCATTTTCTGGAAAGTAGAATCCATTCTGAAATGTTTATTGATACAATGGTGATTTCTAAATTCACAGTCTATTTTAGCAGTTTGAAAGTAAACATTGTTTTATTTTGTTGTTTCAAATATCCACATTGCAGTGCTCTTCAGTCTTCGTATCATCACAGTAAACATGGCCCTGCGGTGCTGAATGAGATGACTGATCTGCTGAATCAATTAAGAATATATGAAGAATATATGCTTAAGAATTTAAATAGTGTAAACCCACAACCCAGTGTTGGAGATTTGCTACATACTCTTAATGACATGGATCTTGATTATAAATGCTGTGCTGTTGAACAATGTAGTAGAACCTGTGCTGAGGTTACTAAAAATGATTGCCGAAATAATGGAACAGATTCATTTCAAAATGAATATTGTGGCAGGAGAGAAAGTTACAAAGGTTCTGAAAGACCAACTCTTTCTTGGCTTAAAGAAAGAACTGCCAGTATCATGGAACAATTTGGGTTGTCTCCAGACACAGTTAAACATACATAGCTGTTGCAAAACAAATTTGTTGCTTTAAATTATATTTATTTCTAATATCCTTTTTGACAATCACAGGACACTGCAATGGTCATAAATACAAGAACTGGACACAGAGTTAAGATTGTCTTAATTTCAAGCTGTCACTGCACAAGGCAGTTGGTAAGACTATGTATTTTTTCAACAGATGATGGTAATTATGTTTCACTTTTATTATTTTTATGAATAATCCTGGTGCTGCCCTTTCATAGTGCCTGGAGGCTGGGGATGGAGTGGGGGGCTGGATAAGGGACAATAGGTTGCAGCTAAACTCTGATAAGAGTGCTTGTGGATATGCGGAGCCTGGGAGTCCAGAGTTTTATCTTTAGTTCTGGTTGGGGTTGCACTATTCCAGATAGACCCATTGCATAGCTTGTGGGTTTTCTTAGACTTCAACTACTGCTTAAAGAGCAGGTGGCAGTCATGACTAGGAGAGCATTTAAGTAGCTTCATATTATGTGCAAATTGATCTTTTCTGTATTGTGAGGCCCTGCCCTGCCTTCAGCCACTCATGCCCTGTCACCTTTTGTTTAGCTTATTGCATCACACTTGACATGGGGCTACCTTTTGAAGAGTATTCAGAAGCTACAATTGGCCCAGAATGCATTAGCATGGAATGTTCTGAGGCCCTAGGTGGCACATATAAAACCAATGTTATGCAAGATGCACTGGCTGCCAATCTGCCTCTGGGTCCAGTTCAAGATGTTGGTTATCCTCTTTAAAGCCCCTAGGATATCTGAGAAACTGCCTTGCCCCAATGGGACTGGCCTGCCCATTTGATCTGGCACAAATGGCCTACTGCAGACACTCCTAGCCATAGAATTTTGGCTGGTGGAGTCTAGGAAAAGAGCCTTTTCTGCCATGGCCCCTGCCCTTGGAATATCTTGCCTCTGGAGGAGAGATCTGCCCCCACCTCTCTGGAAGGATCTTAAAACCAGACACTGTTGGATGCCATGGAGCCTCGATGGAGATCTGAAAGCCAAAGATGGATAGTGCAGTGACACTGCATCATCCACCTACTACTGCTTTGAGCCAGTCTTTTAGTCTGTATCAAATCTTTTGTATTTTTAATTTGTTTTATGTTTAGAATTGTCTTGTATCCCTATTTTGTAAGCTGTCCAGAGTTGCCTTGGACAGCAAGATGAATGGCATATAAATTTAATAAATAAATGAATTCAACAAATTTTTGTGTCCATTTCCGATGAAGATGGCTGACTAAATACATGCTCAGGGAGGGTTCCCTGAAGATTTTTCCTTGGGCTGTAGCTCTTCAGATACTAACTGAAGGGACTGACATTCCTTCGGTTTTTATGACCCACCCAGATCAGAGAAAGTCTAAGAATTACCCTTCAAGAGCCTCTGAAACAGCTGATGTCTGCAAGCAACTTCAGAGCTGCGCTTCAAAGCTGTTGCATGCCAAATGCTGCGGGGAGGGGCTGCAATCTGTTCTTGAACAAGCCACCATTTTGGAAATCTATCTTTCAAACAGTAAATTGTGCCTTTCATTTCTTCATCACCTTTAAGAACTATTAATCTTTACTAAGTTAAGTTAAAAGTTAAGTCACAGCCTGCTATGCCTTTTTGAAGATCTGTGCCATTTTGGGGGTTTCTTTAGTGTTAAACAACAAAGCAGAAGGCTGCTAAGGCACGCCAAAATAAAGACGTGTGGAGCAATAAAGAAAACTGATGGAGAAACAAAGACTTAAAGCTGTGGTTTTAGTTTATTATTGTAGTAACTTGTAGCTTAGTCTCTGCTGTGAGTGGCTAAAACTTTCTGATTTTTATGATTCCTGAACTGCTAGCAATTCCTAAATGACTTACAAAAAAAGCTATTCTTTGACCAAAGAGGGAATCAAGATGGAGGAGCAAATTATTAGAAATATGTTTAAAAATTCTCTAAATAAAACCCACCACTTTGTTGACTAGCTGTGCTCCAAGGATGATAAAAAACCCTCTCAAACTACTTTAGAGATGCAAATGTGTAGAAAGTTACCAAATTACTGAGGCAACTTTACAAGCAGTTGAAAATACAGAGAAGTTAACTACAATTTTGAAATATAAACCTGACACCAATTTTTATTATGATGGTTTAAACATAAATCTCTCAACACAACTGAAATACAGACATTCAAGAAAATCTACAACTCTTAAAAAGACAAGTTTGGGACTTTTTCTTTAGGACATTAACAAGGTAGAGAAATCCTTGATAAAAAGGGTGGCTTATAACTACAATAAATTTTCCAGAGAAGAAAAAGATTTTGAAGACAAGCTGGAATGAGTGACTTAAACTTAATGAGTTAACTGGATCTAGGATCCAGCAGGAATGGTTAAATTGAATATTTTATTCAAAGAGGAAAATACATTTAAGTATGTTTTTCATTTGGATATCACTTCTGGATTTTGTGCCTGTGATGAAAAAAAATATGAAATTTTGACTTTGGTTTTGTCGATTACAGAAATGGCTAGTTATATACTAATGTGTAAAAGCAAAAAGTTGAGCTGGAGTGTTCTTGTACTGTGCTAAAAAGAGTCAGAAGTCAAAGCCTTTCTTTTTTCCAGTCCATTCACATTTTTTTCTCCCCTTTTTCCTTCCTCTAATTTCTTATTTTTCTTTTTATATTATATACTAGCTGTACCTGGCCACACGTTGCTATGGCTCTCGTTCACTCAGCCAACAGATGGCGCTGTTTTTCAAAAAAAGCATGTTTTTACCTGTCACAGGTGTGACATCTATATAATAGTAGGTATATAAAAACACGCGCGTGTTCGAATGCAACGTTGTGTCAAAATTTCAAAGCAATCGGTGAAGAAGGTTCGGAGATTTAAGATTTTGAACAAACGAACATTTACATTTTTATTTATATAGATTATATTATATATCATATCATATATCATATCATATTACATTAATTACATATCATGCAGATGGTACTAATGTTGCTGCAGAAACTCTTGACATGCGATTGTCATTTCTAAAATTGTTTTCTATCCTGCCTAATCATCAAAGCTATAAATCACAAGTTCATTTTTCCCCATTTTTACGCAAAAAGCATATAAGGACTTAGAATTCCATTTTCCTGAAACACAGACTCATTCAGAAAATATTCTGACATATTAGAAGCATTTTAACTAGAGATTTCCTAGGTTATAGCTTCTACTGAAATTTTACAAAAATAAATTGAAGCAATTTTATACTGTGTGAACATGTGAATATACTGCATTTGTTTTTTGCAAATATAGCTATCTGTATAGTTCTTAAATAACTGCAGTTATCCCACAAATGCAAAAGATCATGGTTGAAAAGCTTCATATAAGACTATATAATTCATGGATTATTAAAAATTCTTCTTGAATTCCTTTTTTGTCTGATTTACTTCTGTTTTATTATGAATTCTTAATCCATAGGTCACTTTCAAAAATTGTGATTTGTAAAGAAGCTGATGCTTCTTTATAGATAGAAGCTCAAAATTCTCTGTATCCTTTCAGGAGCTAAGAGAGATCTTGGAAAGTCATTAATTTAAAAAACAAATCAATGCTAATTTTTTAGTTCACTGCTTCAATAAAAATGAACATACATTTATCCATACATAAAAACAACAAAAATCATAGAAAATAAAAATAGAGTTAATTGTTTTCACTAGTATATGTCTGTAATAACTGATTATTACAAGATTACAGGGTTAATGAATACAGTCTACATTCATGCAATAAGGACATTTTATTTCCACTGTTATGGGAAATCCACGCAGAAGCAATATCTAATTGTCTTAATTTACTGAGATCCCATTTACATACATGTAATTTCTTTTGTGTCATCTAAATTTTAAGATTAGCTACAGGTTATTTTTTGACTTTTCTTCTAATGTTTACAAGCAAATGAAAATTGTTCTGCATTACTCAAGAGGTTTCTAATAAAACTTGTATATTTTATAAAGAAAATCTTAATCTTTTCATTTTGTATGTCTATAGCATTATTCAAAGATTCTGTGTTCTCAATTGCTTCATTAGCTTATTTTGCTGCTTCTCTGCATATTGAGAATTAGCTCAGACAAGATGTATAATTTACTAAAATGTTCTTGTGACTTGAATATTTACTGCCAATTTTAAATAAACTAAACTGATATTCAAAGTGTCTGCATATGTCTACATATTCAAGCAATCCTCAAAATTCTGTGGTGAATAAAAGCAAAATTTTGATTCCTATAACACTTTCTTATTTACATTTTTAGTGAAGAGAAGCAAAACTCAGCTTGTATGATAAAAGTCCTACCCCAATACGTTTCTTTCATTTTGCTTGGTAGTTCCTACATTTTTTGCATCCCAGAAAAATATAAGAATTATGAGAGGATACTCATAATTTTATGGATTGTTTATTCCAGAATAGTTCAGTTCAAAATTGGGATTTTGTTGCCTAGTAGGCAAATTTCAGAAAACACATAAGCTGTTATAGCAATACCACAAAATATTTAATAATCCAATTTTTAATGAAGTTATTACAATCTGAGGAAGTTACAATGAGAAAAGAGTTTGCCAGTTTCGAATAAATATAAAATAAGATTCTCTGTGAAGATGCCTCACTAAAAGCCAAAATAACAAGACTACGTCTGATTTACTTTGGCCATGTCATGCATGCAAATTCATTGGAGAAGTCAATGATACTAGGAATGGTTTGTCATGGTCCGACAGATGAAACTCTTCCAAAGAACTTTGAGGCATTGTTTACCTTAAAGAATCTTTTATTCGAGAAAGGAAGTATTGCCACTATATAGTTAAAGCCAAAAACTGAATTCTCCTCCCCTGAGTACAAAGTAACAAAGCACAATTCTCTCCTTGAATTAACAGTCATAAATCACATTCCCCAATTAGCTTGAAGCATGGGTGCTTTCTCCCCAGCTCTCCAGCCTCCCAAATCTTTTATCAATAACACAATAACCTTGAATTCCCATGGCTGAGTTATTATTGTTATGACTAACTGGACTCTCATCCACATTCCCCCTCTCAGCCTTCATGTTTTCAAATTCTCCTATTTTGGCAGAGAGGACACATACATAATCAATTAATTTAAATTAATTTCATAATTATAGTTTAATTTGTGAAACGGAATGCAAAAGTCCTGAAAATTAAGTATTAAATTAAACAAACAGAACAGAGAGCCACTATAAGGCCATTTTCAACCAGTGAATATGGGTAAATAGCAAGAAGAATTGATTTTAACCTTCATCCAAAAACCTTTTGGATCATTATGGTGACATTGGACCAGTTTTTTAAATTAGTTATTACTTTTAGATTTGTTGTGGCTGCTTCTGGTACCACTATAAAATTATGCTTCAATGTAATGATATTAACTGGTCCCTGTTTTAAATGAACTCTTGAGGAAATTTGTGAGAGAAATTTCTCCTAAGCCCTGATCCACCTCCTCACCAATATTTTATAGCTGTTACCACAGACAATTTCTCAATTGAAAGAGCTGGGCACCTTCAAGTGCTCCAAGCGAGAGATGTCATCTATCCCAATCTACTAATTGAAGCTGCTACTTAGATTTCCCTGATGGTGGGAATAAAAAAGGACCAGAAGACCTAACATCCTTTCTCTTTCGATTTAAAAGCCATCTCAAAGAGAAGGAGGAAGGGAAGGAATTATACTTCCTGTAATTTGATCAATGCTTAAAAGATTTCCAAAAATCTTTCTAAAAAGATAGCAATTCTTCATACGAAGTGAAAAAAAGATAAACTAGAAATTTATCAAAGGGAGTTAGATAGACAATCTCTAAAAGAATAAACTAATAAACTGGATTTAGCAATATGTCTAATAAAGGAAATTGGCCTCAAATCAAAAGTATCTCAAGTTAGGCCTCACTTATAATGACATCACAATTAAGATCTGTAATTTTTCTAATAAGGAAATAGAAATGGCTTGCAATCATCTTTTTTTCTAGTTCCTTTCTTCCTAGCCTAGAATTCCTTGAAGACTTTTCAAGTGCTAAGAATCTAAGTGCTAGCCTTAGATTTGCCTTGGTGCACTCTTTCCAATAGGCAACTGAGTTGAAATATCATTTAAAGGCAATTTATTAGAGTACTCTATGAAAATAAAGAAAGCCTGGAACAAAGTTTTAGATTTCTATTTATGCTT